TTTAAATGTTTCCAGGGATGGTGACTCAACCAGTCCCCTAGGCAGCCTTTTCAGTGCTTGAGAACCCTTTCAGTGAGTAAATTTTTCCTAATATCCAATGTAAACTTCCTCTGGTGCAGTCTGAAGCTGTTTCTTCTTGTCCTAAACAATAATTACTGATAAGTATATTTGATGCTTTACCAGTGGTAATTCTATACTGTCATATAAAATTGAAATATATACTTGCTCCTAACATTCATTGCTGCTAATATTAGTTCCTGCTGTTGTTAAAATATGTATTTGCTTTATGGTACTATAGATACACTTGTTTTGCTAATAGTAAGTACACTTGCCTTGATAGTGGTGACCTATAGTAGAATGCAATAAAGCAGCTGAGGAAATAAAGCTTCTGTGGTGTTGTGCACGATGTAGTCCTGTGAACCTACGTTGTGACCTTTGCCCATCCACAGGCTGGGTAAACCCTCTGGATCACACCAGGTGAATGGAACATTTTATATTGGGCTGCATCCAGTGCACACCAGCACTACCTAGTGGGCACAGAGAAAGGGATAGGATGAAATAAATCCCTGTGTCTCTGTTGCATTGCATTGCTTTGACTTTTTGCAGACTGGCAGTGAAGAGAGGCTGGAGGAACATTAGTCAATTCAAGTTCACTGTATGTTCAGATATGAAGGTGATGCTGGGGTTTGAGGGCCAGGAGATGCTTCTGGCCCGAAGATACAGTCGGTTCTTGCCTCAGTCTTTCCTGTCAGGCATCACTCCCTCCTTCACTTTTCACGTGTCTGAATAAATGCAAGGTCAAAGAGGTTCAAGAGCACTGGGCATTTATCTTCCAGAGCTTGGGCTTTGCCTTCAGCTGTTAAGCACCTTCTCACTCCACCACAGAGGGCAAAGAGGACGTAAGGCAGGCATGCCTCACTGCAGCTTGTTACAAAAAAGGGTTACACCTCCACAGGTAACAAAGCAAATAATACTGCCTTTGGCCTTGACTTTTCCCAAGGCACGAAGTGCTGCTCTCTCCCCCAGCAACACCAGCAGCAGAGGGAGAACGCAGTGGGGAGCCCCAGCCTCGGAGGCCACCCAGCAGCAGCAGGCTCCAGCTGTGCCTGGGGAAGCGGGGAGCTGATGTTGCAACGGCATCCGGATTCCAGCCTGGCCAGACACACACTGACATTTTTCCATCACATGTGACCCCTTGATGCCTTCTGCTGTAGTTTTCATTCAGGAATGCTAGTTGTGGTCAGGCTGCCTGTGTTTACAGACACAAATAAACTGCTGCTGACTGAAATACACCATTCCCATGACTGTGCTTGCCATTAACCTTGCAGGGGTAAAGGCAGATCTGCTTACACAGGCAAGCAAAGCCTTCTTGCTTTTAGCATCACTTCCTTTTTTTTTTTTTTTTTTTTCCTATGCAACCTTGTAGATAAGCTAAATCTGGGAAGCAGAACCTATAAAAAACAGAAACAAGGAATAGAGTTTATAAAAAATGTATTTCTATAAAGTTTCTGTGGTTTCTCCTGCTAGTAGAAGTGACATGAAGTCTGACCTAGAGGCTGAAACCCTCCTGCACCCAGGCATGGCATCCATGATGTGCTCTGTGCTGTTTGGCCCAACACCAGAGGCAGGAGGCTGCTCTTTGCTGACAGCAATCAGCACTATTTCCTTCTTTTTACTACATTTTCTTGGGCACCTGGCCTGTGGCACCCCTCCCTCACCTACTCACTTCCCACATTACTCACTGGCTACTCAGCAGCCCAGCTGGCTGCACAGCTGAGTCCCACCTTGCAGGGGAAGGAGGGCACCTGTAGTCCTGTCCCCAGACCCTTGATCTGCTCCTCTCCCCACCCAAACCACCCCACTTCAGCTCCTGGGGGCTGCCTTGGTTGTTCAGTCTCTCAGCACTCACCCAGCGTACTGCCAAAAGCCACAGCACAGAAATGCTGCAGTGTAAAGGTAATCTGCAGGGGAAAGCCTGTGAGCTTCCCTTTGAAGTGCAAAGGAAGAAAACAAATGGGTTGGCTTTGGTTTTAAAGTGCTTGATGCTTTGCAAATAAAGCAGCAAATGCCGTGAATGCATCTCTGCTGCAGTTAGAGTGGAAAAGCTGGTTGAAAACATTCCTGCCCTTCCTTTCCTTCCACTTCCCTTCCTGCTCGCCCTGTCTGTGCCTGGGGCAGTATGGCTTGTATGAGGTAGTCAATGCACTAAGCTAAAACTGGTTCTATTTGTGATGATTATTTTTTGACTGTTTTCTACTTTTACTTTTGTGATAGTGATGAAGTCTATCTTGCCAGCCTGGCACTAGGCAGGGGAATGATCACAAAAACCAGATTTGCCCCATGGATGCTCCTTCCCAGATGGAAGCATTAGTCCCAAGTATTCAGTACACAACATCTCAGCCTGAAAACTTCAGCCTGGGCTTCAGTATTGTGTAGGAAACACGGAGCTCAGAAGAGCTGCCCCTCTGCAGCACTCAGGCCTGTGCGGTGGGTTACACGAAGGCAGTACCAACATTCAACCAGAGCCTGCCCTTGCACTTCTTTCAGAACATATGCACCCTCCTCCCTTGCTGGGGCAGATTTAGTGGAATCAAGTGGGAACACAGGGTGCAGAATTCATTTGTCTTGAGTTTTGGGTTTTTCACTCCACCTGACCAGCATTGCCACTGCCCATGTGTCTCTTGCTGCACTCCTGAAAATCTCTGTATTGAACTCTTTTTAGTGTGGTCTGCTGCGTTTCTTCAGTGTTGCTGGTAGGAGGGGGGAGGACCATAAAGTTCTTGAAGGAGAGCTGTTTATAGTGACCAAATAAGAGCTTCTGTTTATAGAGGCAAAAACAAATAAAAAAAAAATCCGGAAGGATGGGCCCATGGCCCTTTTCCAATGAGATGAGAAAATCAAAACAAAGAACACCATTTGTTTTTGCTTTTCCCTGGCAAGCTTCCTTGAGCTGACTATTGCATGATCTGTTCAGGGCAAAGAGACAAGAGAAAAAGGGAAAAAAAAAAGAAAAAAAAGCAGGCAGCAGCAATGCTCCAGCTTTTCTCTCCAGGCACAGGCTGCAGCCCCACTGCAGTCTGTGTGGGTTTAAAGCAGCAGCTGTCAGACAGAGTAACCCAAACCCCATCTCCAGGGGAAAACAGATAGGGCTGGGTGAACAGTTTTTGGGGAAATAAAACTATCAAAACCCAAAGCAAACTGTATATTGTGAAGCAACAGCACTGGGTTTTCTCCAGCTCCCTTTCCAGCCAGAAGCTCAGGGTCCTCCGCCCTTCCAGCTGGGCTCCACTGGACCCCACAGCAATAGTCCTCTAGTGAAAAGCCTGAGGCTGGACGAGCAGCTGTGCGCTCCCACTTGCCCTCCTGCAGGTACCCACGCCAGACACCTATTCGCACACGCCGAGGGAAGAGTGTTTAATTTAGGTTCCTCACCCTAAACTCCCGTGTCCCTCAGGCTCCCACCAGTTTCCTGTCTGTTTAACGCCGCCGCATGGCGCAGGAGCTCCTCGTGGCACTCCCTGCCCTAGGTCAACACCAGGGCATTGCATCAACATCCCTTCTGCCGCAGTCACTGCTGCTCCAGCTCCTATTTTTACAGTATTTCGTTGACTGATAAGGCTCTATTAATACATCACTTGGGCAGCACCACTTGGGCTTGCAGAAGCAAGCCCCAGTTCAGGTGGGGTCTCTGCAAGGAAACAAGGAACTCTCCTCACAGCATCATGTATGCACAATAGTTTTATTTTTTTATATAAAAAAAAATCCTAAAAACTGCAGAACTCTGGTATCCTAATTTCTTACACAAATGCTTCCAATACCCTCTTCTTCTTAAGCTAATTCCCCCCCCCCGCCCCCAACAACAACAACTTGTGGTGGTGCGGGTTCCCCTATTTTGAACTAGTCACCCTTTCTAACGGGATATGTCTAAAGCTGCAATATGGCACTTGGTTGACTTAGTTGGCAGGTTGCATACATCCAGAAGCTGGGGTACGGAGTCACACACGGCTCAGAATCCATCAGCACAGGAGGGAGCCTGCCTCCATGTCCATGCCTCCAGAATGAACCAGACCTTTCTCCTTACTGTGCAAATAACAGGCTGGGGTCATCGACCAGTCCCATCGTAAGGGATTCTCACCCCTGAGGAGGATCCCATCTTCACGTGGGGAAGCAGCATATACAGTCAAGCAATTGTCCACAGCAGTCCCAGGTGCTGAGACCCCATCAGTCAACTGTACCGTTGTAAGACTTGTTGAGCTTGTTGAATGTGAACTCTACGTTATGTGTGGAAATAGGCTTTCGGTAGAGAGGATTGGATGCCTTTGGACAAATGAGCAGACAAAAAGAACAATGGTGAGGAATGAAATCTGTGTCATGGGGAAAATACGTGTAGTCCCCCCCTCTCCTATGCCAATTAGCTTGGAGATAGAGCTGCATTTGGCTTTGACTGAACTACACATTCAGACCCAAAAGCAGTGTTACTTGTGCATCAGACCCACCTTCCGTCTTGCCTGCAGGCACAAGTGATGCCCCAATACTCTGAGCAACCCTACCTACAGCCTCCCAGAAGGGCTCCCTCATAGACCTGACCCACCTGGCTGTCACCACAGTCAGAGCTTGGTCCCTGCTCCCCCACCTCCTTCACCCCTCCACCACTCATCAGAAATGCATGATGAAACCAAAGGCTGGGTGTAATTTTGCAGAGTATTTGTAACTTGCCAAGGGGAAGAGCAGTGCAAAGTGTGGGTCCCCAAAGCCCTGCTGTGTGGCACCACATGACATGTTTGCCAGGCACCACTGCATGGGGGTGTTGTGACCTAAGTGCAGGACCCAACACTTGGTCTTGTTGAAGCTCACACAATTGACCATGGGACACGGGTCCTGTCTGTCCAGGTCTCTCTGTAGAGCCTCCCTACCCTCAGGCAAACCAACACTGCCACCCAAGTCGGCGCTGGCTGCAGACAGTAGCTGAGTGGTGAGAGCCAGCCGTGCCCCGGCGCCCCCAGCCCGGGCTCACCATCTCGTATCTGGCCCGGGAGCGCTCGCTCTGGAACCGGTCAAACTCCCGCCGGTCGTGGATGGTGACGAGCAGCTTCCAGGCGCCCAGCAGGACGACACCGATGAGCACCACGCTGCCGATCACCGCCAGCACGATGGTCACGGCGCTGGGGGCCGAGCTGCACGCTGGGAGCCAGGGGGAGAAGGGCGTTAGCTCCAGCCCCGGTGTATCCCAGTCAGGATACTGGGACATAACGACCTGCGCTGCAGCCACTCTGCAAGTGACCCCAGGGCAGCGCTAGCAGCAGTGGCTAAACTAACAAATAAAAGCAACAAAGGGATTTTTTTTTTTTTTTTAAGTTAAATCAATTCCTGGCTAGACAGAGATCAAAGGCACAGCTGTCATGGATGGCACTGGAGCTGGGATGTCATGTAGAATGTCACATGAGATGTCTTCTTTGGGGGAAGAGCAGTGCTGCGGTGCCATCATCCAACAGCGATGCCTGGCTTTAAGGCTGGGTGACCCATGTGGGACACAGAGGGTTAAGGTGCCTCTGGCTAAAGCTAGCTCAGCTTCTGATCCACATGGAGGCAGGTGATCACTCAGCACTTTGAATAAGTATGTTAACTATCAGCTAATAAACTGGTATTTCAATTAAGTGCAAGCTGCAGCACAAATAAAATAAAATAAAACGTGTGGTATCCCAACCTTTCCCATACTGGTCTGTGCCTTGGAGGACCAGAGCAGATCAGGAGAAGCTACTGCTGGGTGCTCGCCAGCTTGTCCTGAAACACCACATGGGGTTTTCTTTGAGAAAGCACATTGCACGTGATTAAAATAGAGTTGAGAAACCCAGCTGTCTGCAGCAGCCCTGGAGAAGGGAGCAGGGACACATTGCCCAGCAGTGCAGAAATCCCAAGATGGTGTGGGGCTTTCCTAACTTAACCATCCTGACTTAACCAGCACTGGTTAAATCAAGTGTCCCTTCTGATTTTTTTTTTTTCTCCCAGCAGCTGTATCTCACCATCAGTCCATGGCATGCTTTTTGATGCATAAATAGGCTGTGTTGGGAGCTGGGTTTCAGTGCTGTAATACACTACTTTAAACCATCCCAGTTCACCTGCCCATGCATGCCTTCATGCAGGCAGTGAAACCAGCCTTTCTGCAACCCACCAGGCTCCCCAGCAGCCCGTCACCTCTCCCGAGGCAGCCTGTGGTACTAAAAGGAAACCCGAGGGAAGACCAACCTGGCTCTTTGAGGACAGTGAGGTTGGATTTCCCACTGGCAAGTTCCACGTAGGTGAACTTCATGACACAGTTGTTCACTGGGTAGGCGCAGAGGATAGCGTTCGGGTCATCTGTTTCTGGAACAACAGGCAGAGTTGCAGAGTTTTCTTTTGTCATTTATATTAAAAAAAAAAATCCTAAAGACTGTACAACTCTTGTATCCTAATCTCCTATACAAATGCTTCCAACGCTTTCTTCTTTTTAAGCTAGTTTCCCCTAATAACTTGGCATGGGCTCCCCTGATTTTGAAGTAGTCACCCTTTCTAGCAGGGTATGCCTAAAGCTGCAATATGGCACTTGGTTGACTTAGTTGGCAGGTTTAATGCAAGGAATTAGTACAATTCTCCCCAGCAAGCTGAGCAGGGCTTCCCACAGGTGCCTGGGAGTGGAGGAATGGGGAGCAAGCCTGGAAATCAGCACAGTTTGATCAGGATTCATGCAAATTATAACTGAGCAGCATCCAGACTCTGAGAAACTGTGGCACTTGGAAATGCTGCATGGCAGCAACCTCACACATACACACACTCTTCCTTCACACAAGCCTGCTTTGGCAATAAATGCCATTTTCTTTTTAATTTGCCAAGTTTCTTGAAGAGTGGAAGCTGGAGAGAAAGCGAGGGGCTGAGGCTCAGCCTGTGAGGACACGGACGGGGCCAGCAGCAGCAGCTGCCCAGGGCTGGCTCATGCTCCAGCTGTGCTGAACGGCCCCAGCTCCTGAAACGGTCGAGGAGTTTGTTTTTAGAGTGAGATGGAAGAAGAAAATGCAGAGAGGAGGAGGGAGGGAGAGGCAAGGGAGGAGTTGGTTGGAGGGGGGGATGCAGAGATGGGGAGCTGCAAGAGATGAGACTCATTGGCGGTATGGGTGCTGCTTGTTTGCCTGTTTAACCCAGCACAGCACCGGGCAGAGCCTGTCACTGCTCTGGTCACTGTAGGTGCTTCCCGAGGAAGGCTGCTTTACAAAAGCCTTTACCAAGTTTCAGCACAGCTATCATCTGAAGCTTGCAGCTCTAGCTTCAGGGGTGACGTCAGCAGAGTCGCTGCCCTGCAAGGCTACAGCTCATGGGGTTCCCCATGGCAGGGACAGTGCCTGGAGGCAGATGGAGCAACACCTCCTGGTGTTGGTAGACCAGGTAGCTCTGCAGGAGCACATCTCTGCAGGCCTGCGTGGGCTGAGCGTTTCAAGGGAGAGGAAGGATTTGGGCATCCTGTGCTATTGGCCGGCAAAGACGTGACCTTGGCTAAGGCACGTGGAAAATGCTTCTCACAGCCCTCTGCCTCACCCATCTACATGCCTGTCTGTCACACTGAAAAATGACCACATTAATGACCCCTGCTATTCCAGACTCTTATCTCCCTCCTGTCTGTTTGTCTTTCCTTTCAATGCCTCTGACCTGCTTTCAGTTGAAAGATTAATGCCCCCCATCTCAACAGCTCTGAACCCAGATGCAACTGCCCCTCTGGTGAGTTCTGACAGGGCTCCTCCTGTGGACAAAATTCAGCTGTTCCTACCTCAGGACAGGAAAACCTGCTCTACCTACACAGTGGTATCAAGGGCAGGGCTGGAGAGATGCTGATGAAGACAAAGCAAGAGTATTAAGTACATTAAACTTCCATGGTTATTGACTAATGCCCTTCTGAGTTAAGCAGTAAACCTTAATTGTGCAGCAAATATTAGTTCCTTCAAGCCTAGCTGTTTTCAGTCCCATCTTTGCACCATTATTCTGCTAAAAGACAAGATGATTGAAGTCTCAATACTCATGATCTCTGTTGCTCTTCACTAGGTTTCAGAGATCACACATCCAGAGGCAGAGGTGTGATGGCTCCATTGAGCTTTCAGGTCCACTTGTATGTGCTGTTGGCAGGTTCAGCTCAGCACTGGACCTGTCATGATCCTTTCATATTGAAAGTTCCTCTCTGGAACCATCGGGAATGGAGATTTACTATTGCAGGAGCAAAGGAAATCCTGCAGAATCCAATGCAAGTCATATAAGCCTCCCAAAAGACATTGTTGTGGCTTGTGAATCCAACGATAGATGCCTTTGCTTTCTGAAGTTTGAAGCACTGGCTACTTCATACCCAGAGCCAAAAGGCACCTGGGATCTTCCAGAGAGTATTCATCACAACGCAATATTTAAGAAGGTTCCATCCTCCACTGATAGAACAATGCAGACCTATGTCTTCTGTGACAAGTATCAACATTCACCCTCTCAGCAGGGACTTTAACGCGTGCTACATAACACAAAAGCACTTGAACACCAGGATTTGGGTGAGTCTGCCTGTAAATAAGTCTGTAGTCAGCAAGTGCTTGCACTAGGAATATTTTGCCTTACCTCTTTCTCTAGTAGCTCAGATCTCCAAGCTGCAGAGTGCCCTGAGCTACAAAGAGCTCAGCACCATCTGCAATCTGATTGCAATAGTTCAACAAAAGAAAAAGGGTAATTCCCCAAAGTGTCTTAAGACAGAAATTTGGCTGTGTTTTTCTCTGAAAGTCACGGAGGAGGTTGGCAAAACCTCAGCCCAGCCTCACAGTGCAACAATCAGCAGAAGGCTTGAGCTTTAATCCCCAGTATTTGAAGGCTCCGAAGAAACGCAGGCCAGCCAAGCATCAGGAGGAATCTTCACATGGTTTAGGAGTGCCTTGTAACCCCTTGCAGTATGCTGGTGTAGGTGTATTTCCCAGTAAATAGCAGGCAGGATGGAGAGAATGAGAGCAAGCCTCCCAAAGGAAAAGGTAGGAAACCCCAGTGGTCATAATTTAAAAGCTAGACACTGGATATGAGAGGAGTCAATGGGAAAAACATTGCCTGCAGGCAGCTCAGGAGGAAAGGAGAGAAAGGACAAGCAAGGTACAGCATTCCTACCTCTATAAACTCTGGGAAGAGGAGGAAATGTCAGATGTGGACAGTAATCTATCTCTGCTTGATCTTCATCCCTCCCTCCAAGGGGTATTTCTAAGGCCAGGGTCAGGATTAAAGCTGTTTGGGTCCCCTCTACTCCCCCAAGTAGCAACCAAAGACTCCCAGAATGGAGCTTGAAAAGAAAGGGAAGAAAGTAATCTGCTGAGGGGTGTAGATGTGGGGTGACCTCTAGAAGAACACTCAAAGGCAAGGAGGAGAGCTCACCAAGGGGCAATTTTAGCAGTGTGTTCCACCAAAGCAGAACTCATCATGTCCGAAACAGCTTTGTTTTCTTTTACAAGCTCAATTCTTCCAAGATTAATTCTCAGAAGATTAGAGAATTACTTTTTTGAATGATACTTTGTCCTTTTGTACTCTTTTATGGCTCATCTAATCTTCTGTCTTGTCCCATGCTACTCTTTTCTCCTTGCACTGTCAGTAGTGGTTCTCATACATTTTGATTTTAAGATATTATTTAAAATCAAAGGGTTTTTTACTTCCATAGAGATTACAGCCCGTGGGAAGGGTCACACACACCACACATACACATATAGACATCATACACACACACACACACACACACACACACACACACACACACACACACACACACACATTTCTAAATGCCAGTTTTTCCCTGAAGCTTTCTTTACTGCTGTGTCTTGGTGTGGTTAAGAGGAGTTCAATGCCACAGTCACTGGCTCCCACTGTCTGCAGTCCTGCTGCTGCCCACTTACCGAGAACATCCACAGTGGTGATGATCTCATCCTTGCAGTGCTTTTGGCAGGTTTGGTTATCAGCCAGTCTTCCTGAGTTAAACAGCTTGCATTCAATGCAGTCCCTGCAGAGAGACACATAGAGGGGAAGATGAAGCACCTGTCAGAAATGGCACGAATACAGAGACTCACCCCTTGGAAAGGGACTCCTTGGTGTGGGTCTGAAGGCTGTACAACTGCCTCACAAGGAAAGAGCAAGTTCAGGGCAAAGCATCTCCATCTCAAGGATGGATTTATTCTGGATTCATTGCAAGGTGCAAAGCAGCGTAGGTTTGGAATCTCTTTGCCCTTTGGATGCCAGGAGCTGCATGTCAGCTACTGCAAAATCCATCCTGCCTGATATCAAGGCAGAGAGCATTGCTGCTCTGCACCAGTCCAAGGCCAATGCCTAGGACACCTCTGTCACTGTGAGACAGGTGGCCAGCCCCATCCTTCCCTCCCCTGCAGCTCACTGCGCTCTGGCCCCAGACATGTGCAGCTCAGGGTGTAGCAAAACTGGGGTTTCCAGCCTTTCCTGCAGAGCGGGACAGTGATGGCAATGAACAGGGACATCAACCTGCATGAGGACCTGGGCAGCAACACTTGTTGCTTCTCTATCTGGGATACTCACAGGTTGCTTAGTGCAGGCTCTGAGCAGCAGCAGGTTTCTTGGGGCAAAGCACCCCTCTTTAACAAAGGAGGAATAATTCCTTAGTTGACAAGTCTCCCAGGAACCAAAAAGCTGCCCATCCTACCAGTGAGAAGTCCCTCCCGAGCCCCCTGTGGGTACCTTTTAGTGCTGCAGATGCCCGGGCAGGTGGGGCACTTCTCACAGGTCTCCCCAAAGGCGCCGGGCTCCGTGCACTGACACCTCCCGCAGACGCAGGTGCCTCTGCCGCTGCACATCTGCCCGTCGCTGGAAACACAGCTGTCCGTCTCGGTAGAGCAGTTGCAGTTGTCCCCAGTGTAACCTGTGTGGCACTTGCACTCCCCGCAGTGACACTCTCCGTGACCTGAAGCAGAAGCAAGAGCAGGAGGGAGGTGTCGGTGGCATCCCTGGGCCAGCCATCAGTGCCACAGCTGCCCCTGCACAGGAGGGACCAGCAGCCCAGCAGGAAAAGCTACCAGAGAGACCTTACTTGGCAGAGTAACAAAAAGGTGGCAATGGGAAATAGATATCAAACCATTGTCTACATTTAGCAGCAAAAAACACCTCCTCACAGCTCCTCCAGCTTCCCTCTGTAGTTGCTCGAGACAAATGGGCACCTCTCCCTTCCTAGGTGGGACCGGGTGGCCAGGACTGGGGCACAAACTGCCCTTGGGAGGTACTAGCAGTGATGGTGACCACAGAGAGAACAGGGGAGCTCCCTTTGAGCAGGTGCAGTTCACAGCAGGAGATGGGGACTCCCACCCCAAGTTCACGCAAGCATCAACACCCTGCTATTGCAGAGCCCAAACACAATGTGCTGGTAGATACTGCATGCTCCGGACAGGTGTCAAACTTGCTACCCTCTTGTTTTCCCCTCTCCAGGTGAGAGGTCCTAAGTATCCCTATCTTTTCAGGGTCCTGGTCTGCTCCCATTCAGTGCCTGACACCTCCAAGCAAACCTGAGCAGATGTTTCGGTTGTGTTGTCATGAGCCTTTCTTCCCCCACCTCTGCCTCCTGCTGCCCAGCACTGTGTAACTGGGCTTCACAGAGCTCCCACCTCCACACACTGTGAGCAGCATCTGTCACTCTGTCCCCAACACTTCCTAAGCATTGCCTGGCTTCACTCGCATGCCCATATGAAGCCTCTGGCTCAGCCAGGAGGGTTACGTACCATTTAACACCCTGATTTCCACTGCTACTGGAGTAGCAAAACTATTCAGACTGACAAAGCTTCTCCAGCAGCAGCTTCTGAAATACTTCTCTTGGAGGCATGGCACTAGGAGGATGAGCACTTTGGGGCATGAGAGGATGTGGCAGAGTTGGTGTGATCTCACTGCTCGGCGTGGGATCCAAACAGGAGGCAGCACAGACAGACTGTGGCTAGTTTTCTGCTCAGTCTTGCCACAGTATTGGATTTCACTAGCAGAGCCTCCATGCCAGTAAACTGGGTGCACCAGTCACACTTCCAGCCTAGCCTTCTCCAGATCACACCACTCAACAAGTTTTCTCCTCCTCCACGCTTCCCTGCCACTGTGGACCCTGAGCTCTGGAAATCAGTATTACTGCTGGGTCATCAAAATGGTGTAAAAGAGGGGGTTCCTGTGAAGGCTTCAGTGTTTACTGGGCTGGCTGTTCTGTACAAATTAACCTCTTCTTTCTCTGTCTGCATTGGGAGATATGAAGACTGGAATGGAGCAGTGCTTCCTTGCTGGATTTGAACCCAGGGTTCACCAGTGAAAAGTCTAGCACATTGACCATCTCATAACATCTTTCCTACCCTTCTTTCCTAACAGTTTTACATACACAGTACTCCCCAAAAGCTTAAAAGGCCTTAAAAAAATTAAATCAACAAACACCATCTCCTGTGACCAAGCGAGATCTGTCTCAGCCAGTACCATGAAGGTTGCTGGGACCCTCTGAACATCCCCCAGGGAGTAGCTCAGGGCAGCTCACAGCAGAGGCAGATGAAACTGATCCATCCAGTAAGGGCACTCCTCTACTGAAGCATCCCCTTGCAGCTAGGGAGTGTAGTGATGGACTGAGAAAGTCAGCAAGCTTCAAGGCTTTCAGTGATGGTAAGTGTAGTGGCTGACTGCCGAGCATCTGGTTTCAGAAAGGCATCCATCAGCTTGCTAGAAATAGTTTGAATTGAATTCCTCCTTGGTTGGTCCCTAGGAGAAAGGATGCCTTTGAAGGCACAGTTTATAGAGCCGAGGGTTTGTATACGAGCCTCGTCAGCAACCTAATTACAGCTCAGCTTTCCCACTGGAAGCAGCCTCAAGTGCCTCAGACAAGACAAATGACAGACACGTTCCTTTCATCAGCACAAAACCACGGATCTCCTGTGGCTCCAGGGCTACCAGAGAGGCTGTGGATTGTCAAGCTATGTCCCTTGCCAGAAGTCACAGGAGCACCTTCTGTTTTACTGGGTATCTCATATGTCCCAGCACATCACAAGTTGCACTCCTGCAGCCTCTTTTCCACTCCCACTGTTTGCTTTGGATCCAGCCTGCGAACTCAAACATTACTAGACAGAGGAGACTATGTTTACAAGATCTCTAGAGGTGACCTCCTACCCAGCCTACATCTGATGGACATTAAAAATCCCTCGCTCTGTTTGTCTTCACGACAACAGCCTTGCCCTTTCCCCAGACACATCCGTACAGGCAGGTTTGGTTTGCCCCTTTACTACAAAGCTCTGGTTTTGAGCCCATGGACACAGCTACATCCACCACCACTGCTGCAAAGTGGGGACCCCTACACCCTTTGCTTCACAAGCAAAATAAATTGGGTGGCTGGCATTTATTCACAACTAATTCAGATGACTGGGCTCTCACACACAGCAAGCTTGGTGCCTCCATGGCAATGCATGTGTCCAAATGAGCTATAAATCATGGTTTTCTTAAGTGGGCACTGTTTCAAGGAATCCAAAGCAGCTGGCACTGGGAATCCACATATATGGTATTCAGCAAAAGTGCTCACGCTTGAATTTGAGCTGTGAGGGCCAAGAGAAGCAGGCCGATTGCATTCACACCACCCAGTTTAAAAAACACAGTTTTTAAAGCTGTCGGTGCCAGGCCAGTAAAAGAGGCTAGAAAGAATGTCCATCCCTTCTAGACCCTGGCAGGCTGGGGATGGAGCCTGCAGACTGTTCCAGGGAAGAGAAACAGCCATATCCAAATAATGCACCCTATTAAAAACTGTAATGGGAAAATTTAAGAAACAGCATCTTAAAGCAAGCTGTTTTGGTTGTTGAAGGAGATGAAGAAAAAGCCCTTCTATATGAGGGTGACTAAGTGTGGGGTGTGAGCTTAGAAACATGTTGAAATGTGTTTTCTGCCTCAGTCACACTGGCTCAATGTGTGAGAAGTAATTGGCAGAAGCTCACCACAGGGAATGTGCCAAGAGTGGGAATTTCCACGTTGACCTTTAATGGCAAAGATATTACAGTCTTCACTGTCTGCACTAGCTTGAGTGGCCACTCCTGCAAGCACCATGAGCTTCACTTGTGGTTCTCTCCATCCATCTCCCAAGCAGCGTGAAGACTGGAAAAAAGTGGTGAGTGGGATACATTTATTTCTCATATAGGTATGACAAAAGTCATCCCACTTCTCAACGTACACCTGGAGCACCAGAGATGGGAATTCATTCTGTCCTCTTGCTCAGGACACAACCTGAAAGGAGCCCTGAGGCAATGTGGCAGCGAGTCCATTGGTGAGGGTGACCCAGACCTGAGGTTTTCAGGATGCAAAGTGCTACCTGGTACTTGTACCTTGCAGCAAAACGTGCTGCATGTTTCCGGACTCTGCTATCCTGCAGTCTTAAACAGTGCTGATGTGGTTAAGTCACTATGCCACTTAAGATCATGCCTATAGGAAGCCTTCCACCACTAGTTTCACTTCTCAGTTCCATTTCCAAGATGAAAATACATCCCCAAAGAGGGTGTGTTTCAAGACACCTCTGCACCAGCTGTAGTCTTATGATGTGGGACATTATCCTGAACTTTAACCTCCCCAAGTCCTTTGAGTTTGCATGTTCTCTATAAAGCTGGTTTGTGAAGCCAAAAGACATTAAATTACATTCTCCAAACATAACAGGAGATGTTTTCTTCTGTTCCGATCCTTGAAATGAGACGAGTTTAGATGTTTAAATATCCAGATTCAATTGGGAAATTAAATGCTCCCTCTGAATTCGATAACATACTTTCCAGCGAGGTCTTGATAGCTCTTGGGGGGCTAACACAAAACACATGTCAGGAGGCTGCAGAAACACGCTGGGAGAGTGTAGCAAAGGAAAGCAACACTTCTGCAGAGGGAGAGCAGTCCCCAGACTAAGTCTGGATTAGTCTAGGACCCAGCAGGGCAGGAGCCATGGGGTGCACCATGGCCTGGAGGCACCCTCTTCCCAAGGAGGCCACCAAGGTGGACTGAGACCCACAGTCCAGCTGGTCCTTCTGTCTCTCATTCCACCCAACTAATCCCCACACCACTGCCATACCCCAGTAGGACTGCACATCTTGCTGTCACTCAGACAGCTATTGGCAGGATGTCCAACTGTCCTCGTTTCACCCCAGCCACCGCTGCCTCTCCCCCACAACTGCCTGCTGGGTGACAGCCATAGACCAAATCCCCTCTGCCCTTGCCCTGGAACTGCACAAACCCAGCCCGGCAGCCCAACACCCGCGCTGGTCCCTGGGCAGGGCTGTTGCCAGAGAGCAGATAGCAGCTTCTGGCAGAAACTTCCAGCTTCTGACCCCGATTTCATCCTGGCCTTCCTGAGGGCAGGCTGCAAAGTGGGACCTGACGGTGACCGAGTGCTTGGGGGGACAGCCCGTCTGCCCTCCACGATAACTCTGCCCTTTAGGAACTGCACCAGCTGTGCCTGCACCACGAGCTCTGAACCTCAGAGCACTAAAAGCTCTGTATAGGTCTTTTGAGAGACAGGGATTTTCCTAAAGCCACCTACTTCTGGGGACCACAAATGATGCCAAACCACCAGCTTTCTTTTGAAAGAAATAAAAAAATGATCTTAGCTTTTGTGAAGGGGGAGAAAGGGTTGGAAAACAAGCCCCTCCAACACTCCTCTTTTTCCTACCTTCTAGAAACCTAAATTGATGTGTCTACCATACAAGAAAAAACACAAAAACAAAGAAAACCCCAACCAAACTCCTCATGATTTTAAAGCCAGTTTCTTAGTTTCTGAGCACTCAGAAGGGAAAGGTCACACTGCATTTTATTCCCATTAAATCAAGCCACTTATTTTTGTGCCTCTGTGCTCACGGCCAGGCATTGGGTCTAGACCTTCAAAATGCTGTGTTTTTGTCATTTTTGGTTACTTGAGCAACCAGTTTGAAAAACACCCAC